AAAAGTTAATAGGAGAAATATTTTATGAGATAAAAATTTACTTCACTTCACTATAATAAGTTACTTGTAACAAGCACAAAATATATCAAAATTTTTGTAATGAAATCAAATGTAAATTCATTTTTAATACTTGTACAAGTTTAGTGTAATATTAGATTTAGGTATCTTAGTACAAATATATTTAATGAGCATCACAAATGACAAATGTACGAATCGATGTATTATAAATGAACGAGATATAAAATCCATTTTTTTTTTTTTTTTTTTTGAAAATTCTCACCTATATAAGTTAATTGGAATACACCTGCCTACCGGCAGTCAGAAAATGTGAATTATAAAATAGAAATAGAGAGAAAGTGACGATAGGATAAAATCGATAAATCGCCAATGATAGATCTAATGTGATGATACGTATTAATTAACGAAGAAAAGTACTGCATATGCGGATGCAATAAAGAAATATTATGCTGCCATTAATATTAATAGCATGATCGCTATTAAAATAAAGTGATTTATAAATTAAATTAATGGTACACGTGACGTTCGTAACATGTTCTATTAAAGTTTCTTTGAATAGATCTATCTACAGCAATATAATAATAGTTTGCATCTTCATCGTATCTGTGACTTCTTTTTCAATGTATTTGGGCAACACAGTGAAGTTTAATCAATAATAGTTCACATACAATTTATGAATAAACATAAAATTATGTTTTACGTACGCGGACGCAAATATTTTGTCAACAATGTTTATAATATCATTTCATTACTTATATTATATCTTTTATATATTATATTTATATATTTATATATATATATAGAATATATATGTGTATATATATATACATATAAATATACACATATATGTCATTTATATTTTAGATAATATGAATTCTCTTTTATTAATAATCTAATTCAAACTTTTCATGTATATATATATGCATCTTTTTTATATACATATATATATTATATATATAATATAATATATAATATATATATTTACTCTTTTTCTCTCTGTGTGTAATATATTATTACTCATGTTATGCGATATTTATGAATATACAAGTTATTTTTAAAGAGCGGTGAGCCAGCGCCTCCAGCTATGAATTGTACTCATGTACACTTATATATTTCATTTGACGCTACAGCTAACGTTTTCTTTAACTAAACCCATTATTGATTACCGCCTATCCCTTATATCACCCTTTCCTAATACCTACCCCCCCAAAAAGAAAAACAATGATTTGAAACGTTTGTTATTAATAGATGCTGTATCCTCTTTTTTATCTAGCAATGAAATATAAGCTATTTATTCTGTTGCTTATGATATTGATAATTATCAACATAAACGAAGTTTCTAGCTAAAATCCATTCCCTATCTAAAAATTTGATTCAACGTCAAAGTGCAGTTATTAAAAATCTGTCAAAGATTTGGTTGGCTTAAATAGAATTCCACATAAAGCAGTATCATACAGAACCCAAGGATGTATGACATATGCTGACCATAATAAACTTTTATATAAATTTTTATATAAAAATGAATATATATGCAGAAATCGTAATTTATTTCATTTTCAGGATACTTAATCATTGCATAGAAAAGAATTGAAAATACTAGAGAAGAAAATAGAATATTTTTTTCAAACAATATTCCACAATTAAACTTTGAAAATGATTGTATATAAATATAAATATCTCTATGTAACAAAAATAATTATATTTATGCTACTATAATGTAAAGGAATGACAAAAAAAATTTTTCATGTCACAACTTTTAGTTTGAAGTGTCATGAAATATAAAATTGTATTCAACTGATATGCCTTGAAACTAAAAATAATTAGACAAAACTTTTAATGTGCAACACATTGCAACCTGCATACTGAAATATTACTCGAAAGGATCGTTTTGATCCAATGATAAATCGAGTAATTCTTATTCTAACATCTTAATAAAATGAATAATAACATGAATTCTTAAGATATGAATAAAGAAGAATGAGACTCGATGTTTATATATTTGAGTACATTAATCTAAATACTACACGATGTAATAATTGAATGAAGATTTTGAGAAATAAAGACTTTGGGATTCAGAATAAAACTTGGCAATAAAGTATTATGTTTATCATTTAGCTGGACCAGCCAGCATTGTAAATATATAAATATATGTTTATATATAGAATAGCTCTCCCTTTGTATGTATATTTATCTTCCAGCCAAGTTATTTCTGCTTTACAAATGTAAGATCTTTGGTTTTGCCAAGGTATTACTCTGTACTTAAAAAAACTCGCTCAATATTATATTAACTATGAGTAAAAACTCGCTCAAACAGCCTAATCATTTCGTAGTTCAAGGAACAGTTCAATACAATAATTGCAATATTATTTTGTGGAAATGAATAGAATTTGACTTGCGCGATACATTAGGATATTAATCTTTCAGATTGAAGTCATTCAATTTGTGAGTTCTGTATGATCTTCTAACTAAAAATATCTCTCGCATTAATAGTAAGATTATGCTCCTATATATATAAAAAAAAAAAAAAAATAGATTCATCTTTATGAAACGAAACAATTACCCATATAATATTGTTGTCTCGATTTTTCAAGAACAACTATGGCCAAATTGTGCCATTTCGTTTCTAATATAATTATAATTTTATCATGCTTCTTTCAATATCCTATTATACCATACAACTAGATATATTATGTGACTCTGATGTGGTACGTGTGTTATTTGTGATAAAGCCCCGTAACGTGGTGTATCACAGAACAATTGTAGTAGTTATCATATAACATATAATATTTATATATTATAATAATCTTAAAAGATAGATAAATGTTGACGAACCATGATGGATGCATGAATAGTGATGTGATAATGCAAGCGCTATAGTGATGTAGCGACAGATGACAACGGGTGGTAGGTGATAATGGACGAGAGTTTAAAGAAGGGAAGAGAGAGCTACCGCAAACATCATCTCAAGATGTAGAAAGATGAATAACGGAGCTCAATAATGGGGATGAACAAAAGTGCTGTACTTGAAATCAATGGATCATATTGGCGAGGGCATTCTGACGTGCTCGTTTTGCTTCCTCTTCACTGATCCTTTGCTCAATTAAATATTGAGCAGTGCCAATTGCATTAGGATAACCCGTGATAGTCACTATGCGGTTCCTGGTACCAGGAGCGAACATGCCCTTCTTAGAGATTTGTATGTTGGCGCCACTTAGGTGCTGAATCTCAATGAGGGCACGACCACCGGGTCCCAGAATAGCTCCCACTATAACCTCTGCAATTTCTATGTCTACTTTCTTGGTCTCCTTGTTGTTGGCGTCTACCTGTGTAGGACTCTTACTTACAAGTGATAACTGGTTAGTGCCAAGGCCAAATGAATTGTTGTTTAGATGAATAGCACTGGCAGCTGTGTTGTTTTGTCTGAATGGATCAAAGGGCTCGTATCTGTCAAGTGTATTACGTGGTGTAGGAGACGTAGATCCAAGAGTAGGAACTGTTCCAATTGGCCCAAATACACCACCATTATTATTCGAACCATTTGCAGTTGTAGTGCTGTCCATAGGATTTCCAAGATAACTCATACTAGAAGGCATTCCAATTCCCATTCCAAGAAGATTATATTTAGCAAGTGTAGCAATAGCAGATAAAATTTCACTAGCAGCAGGTTCGGAAAAACCTGCCGTTCGTAAATTTAATTTTATATGTTCCAATAATTGCGTTGTCACTGGTGCTGTACCCGCTGTAATAGCAGCTCCTAAATTTAAGTTCAAACTTAACCCAGCACCATTCAAGAGACTCACTGTGAATAAAAGTTAGTAATTTATTAACATCGCATTTTAATTTTACAATTGTTTTTTATATTATTTATTATCTTACCTGTATTAATGCCAGCTGTAGAGGTGTATGTAGGAGTACTTGTAGGTGCTTGAGCATAAGGGCTACCTGTAGGATTATAATTAGCTACAGGACCACTAACATCTGCATAACTAACATTTGGACATGTACCACTATGTGGATCATCTGCCACTTTTGCTAATATCATCATTAATGCATTACGATTATTTTCTTTTTCTCCAATTACTGTTATACACCTTTCTTGTAAAGATACATCTTTTGCTTTCTGACTTATTTGAACATATGAGCCACATTCTTCTTTTATTTGTTTAATATAATTTCCTGCTTTACCTATTATCATTCCTGCAGTGCTATTAGGCACTAAAATTTTTACCTAAAATATTACATTAATTATAATATTTAAATAAAGAAATTTATAATATAATATATTCTTTCTGATTACAATTAATATACAATATGATATATATACATAATATATACAATATATATACATGAAAGAACATTTCTTATTATACATTTCCAATAAATATATTTGATTTATCATTTATTGATAACAAAAATAAGATATTACTTAATAATAAAAATTTTACTAATATATAATGTATTACAAGTAATACACTATTACAATATTAATATAGGAAATGTTAATTTAATATAAATTTAAATATTAATTATTAATTACATAAATAATTATTAATATACATAAATAAATAAATATACATAAAACATATAAGAAATTTTATACCTGTTTATCCCTTTCTGCAGTAGTTTTTCCTGATTCAAAATCTACTGTTGTTTTCAATGTAAGATCTGGTTTTTCACGAATTTTATCCATAATGAAATCCATAACTGCCATTATAGCTTCTAAACTGCCCGTAATTAAACATACTCTCTCTGTTGTTCCTATAGATCATATAAAATAATTATGTATAAATAAATTATAAATCTTTATATATATTTTTTAATAATAGATATAGCATAAATAAATGTTTTCGATATACCTGGATAAAAATCATGGGATTTAGACATTTTGACCCTAGCTCCTGTATCTTTTTGTAATTGGGCAATTGTATCTCCTCCTTTTCCAATGATTGCCCCAGCAGCCACTCCAGGGACCAATACTTTGAGGTGATATGTTCCATCTCCCCCTGTAAAATATAAAATTATATAATTATTGTATTGATTGCATGAAAGATAATATTAATACACAAATTATGGATTAATATATGACAGAATACACAAGATCATTAAAAAATTACATTTTTTTAAGTTATATAAACAATTCAACAAAAAAATTTATTAGTATAAGCAAATAAAAAAAAACATTAAATTAATTTTAATAAAATGCACACATATTTAAAAACACCAAATTTTTTAATGATGATCATAATCCTGATAAAGTAGATCATTACTATTGAATTTAAGTTATTAAAGCTCACATATAACTTTACAATGTTCTTTTATCAAATAACACGTTATTCCGATATTCATGATAAAACTTGTGATTTCTGATTGGTTTCTAAAACGATGAAACGCGAAATCATGCGTACTCACGGACACGCGAGCGCAGAAAGACCGATACCAATGAACACGCAGTACGAGCCTCGAAAAAGTGTCGCGTAATCGGTGAACGAAGAATAAGGAAGTATAATGTAGAATGACAAAGTTTCGATGCGTTGAAGGCAAACAGCTGTTTGACAGATGGAAGCCCTGTGCGCTCACTCGCTTCGCATCGACCTTGACCCGCAACCTCGGCAGCGGAACGGTGTGCCTGACAACTCACCGATACGCCACATCCTAGTAACTGCCACTCAACGGGTAGCAGCGTGTTCCTTAGTATGCCACTTTCGCGACAACAGCGGCACTGCACTACGAGAATGCGGCAGAAAAGTACACAATATGCGTACAAATGGAACGAGGTATAGGCCACTTCTTGCTGCGAAGCTAGTGGTTGAAATGATGAAACGGGCGCGACAGAGACGAAGTTGCAGAGTCACGGATCATAATCGACAGCCACCGCAGCAACGATTCTCCATTAACGACGTTCACAGGCACAGTCGCCCACGTAGAAACAATGACGACGATGACGACCACGATGACAGTAGCAATAACGACGATGAAGACAAGCAGGAAAATAAGGACAATGTTGATGATTACGATGATGAAGAAGGATAGAAGGGTGGGGGGTGACAACGAAGACGAAAACGATGGTGACAATGCTGACGTTGACAATAATAAAATGAACGTCAACGAAAAAACACTGTTATAGATAACACGTATGAAGTCGCGTTATGACATTAGACAGAAAATAGTGAATAAATTAAGAAAATAAAGAGATGAGAGACGGAAAAGAGAAGGAGACGTGGCACGAGAGGATGCGCGAACCGCTGTGCGGTGCACCGTGTTCACGTTCTTGCCTTCGTATACACGTTCGAAGTGGGAAACGAAAGAGAACGGTCGAGCGAGCGATCGCTGTGTCAACAGCAGCGACAAGATTGTCAAAGACGTGTGAGAGAGTAAAGAGCGCTAAGCAAGAAAAAGAGAGCAAAAAGAAAGAAAAAGAGAGGTGAAGGAGGAGAGAGAAAATCATTGTGAGTGTACATTATCGTTCGTATATGTATAGGAACATTGGTAAAGGTATGTAAGGAAACTTATGCGACAGTCAAGAAAATTGATTGACAACACGCAATTAAAATACCTGATCCGTAATGAGACCTCTTCGTCGCGCCATTTTCCGCGTCACAATCCAGTGGCCGCTTCCTGGAGTCTGCAATCTCCGGGGAGGGACACGTCTCCATTCCTGAGTCGGCAGCCATCTTGTCTTTTCAGTTGGGCACGCCAAGAGAAACGAGGAGAGAGAGATAGAGTAAGACAGAGATGTACTTTGACACAGAGACGATAGTCGCGACCGGTGGCAAGTGTCGTTGAAAGCAAGCGAAGGGAGACGCACCACACACGGACCGGACGAACGAATGAACGTACGCACGACCACGATAGGTTTAAGCGGAAGGGAGATGACGGACATATAGACACACGTATAGACGAACGAACAAACGACGAAAGCCCTCGCGGGGTACCGCGTCTCACTGGCGACTGCTCGCGGCTGCCTTGCCAACCAGCTGGTTGATACTCGATGGTGTGCCTCGGCCCTCGCGTTCCTCTCTCGCCCTCGCTATCTCTGTCACTCTTCTATCAATTCTGATCGTTAGTATATCTCTCTTCTTCTCACCAGCCCTCGCGGGCTCCGTTGTGCAGGAACGTACTATTCAACCTATACTAGGGGCGTTTTACTTTGGGCCCTTACATTCATGCGTACACTTTTAATCTTTCAATGAAATATTAGAATTCGAAGAACATTCATTACTCATTCATTCATTCATGTTTCATTTATCCTTTTTATTAATCTGTATTTTGGATAATTATCTTTTCCAATTGACAATAACAATTGATAATATTTAGCATTATATTACATAATTTATTACATTTCTTTCCCATTTTTATAAATTTTTCTAACTGATTTAATTTTTCATAATAAATGATTTTCGTATTAAATAATTTTTAATATATATCATTACTAATTTATTGTAAATCAAAGTTAACTGAATGAATTGTTATCGATTGATTTTACTGCTAAGCATCATACAGTTACAGTTGCAACTTACTGTGGCATGTTGCATTTATCGTATGTATCTTCAAGTGATACGAGCATTTTGTAAAAAATATTAATTTAAATTTCATATTTTAATAATATTCAACTAAATATTATTATTAATAAGAAAAAGGTATTTATATTATAGAAATATTTTTCTTGTCAAGGACATTAATCTTGTTGTCGTTGGTGCGCACTGCAGTATGACATCATAGTTCATGAGCAAGTGAATAAGATGCATTTGATTTCCTAACGATGATTTTAAAAGTACGATCACTTATCAAATATGATATTAAGATCATTTTTTTCCAATAAATATAAATAAATTCATATGCTTTAGAATCATCATAGAATCATATGATGGTTTATATTAACATATCGTCATTCATTATTTAAATATAGATCGACAAATTATAACAAAATATCATTGATATATTGCAAAATCCTTTAAAATTAATTTTCTCTTTGTCAAATTAGTTATTAATATTATTGAAATGAAATTATGAAAATAATATTAACAAAGTTGGAAAGGATATTATTTTTTTATAACCATTTTTCTTTGAAAGTGAAATCATAGAATATATCACGTTCACGCGTACACAATGTAAGTACATATATGCATGTATTCTTTACGAATATTTTTATCCATGCATAAGTTAAAGTCATAAAGAAAGAGATATTTTTAAGAGTCTTATCTGGGAAAAGAACGTAGATAATGTGCGCTATTGGTTTGTAATGAATCACGTGTTTAAAAATGTGATTCTTTTTGTTTTAAATTCAATACAAAATATGATTCGATTTTACCAAATGGTTTAAAAAATATTCAAAATGTTAATTAAAAAATATTATTGTTTTTCTTATTTCAGAATATTTTATCCATTTAAATTAATAATATTACGTTATCAATAAATACGATCAAAGTATTCTATTATAACGCAAAAGATTTTTTGCAACGAACAGAAACAATACAGTCATGGTTGAAACTCGTGGGCATTGTTTTCTAATACCAATTGCGCGCTCATGTGGTTGCTGATACATTGCAAATCGGATTTACAACAATTTACTTCAAAAATTTATTTTTCAAAAATATATATATTTTTTTTTTAACTAATGATTCATTATCAAGAAGAATAAAATTCGAAGATATTAAATAATATTTAATTAGGTATAGATAAGAATTTATTTCACATTACAAATAACCGTATGAATCTATTGGCAAACGATACTATATGTTATACACAGAAGCTTTCTGTCACAGTCGTATGTCGCAATGCTGTTACTAGTGAATGCAGCTCATCGTTGAGACGACAAGAGCGACAATTCGCGAATCATGTTGTTCTTCTTTTCAAAATGTTGTTTTTAAACGATTTGGTGGCTTTTGAGTAATATTATACTTTCACTTAATAATTCTAATAACTAGATTTAAACACGTGCGGATATGGCATTTCAGAATCTTTATTTCACTTCTATAAACAAATTAATATATCTCATGATACTTTCTGTACGACTATTCGTACTGCACTATTTATTTGAACTAAAGGCGCGAATATATTAGTTATCGTATGTATGGCACTTATACTGTTTTCTGATCCGATTATATATGTCATAAATTTTTTGAGTAATAAAACTAGTACCATTAGTATACAGTCATCAAATAACTTCATTCAATTGCATATTCTTCTTTCTCATACACATATTCTATTTCGTTACTGATTCGGCTAATTTAAACTTCCATTTATGAGGTATATTAAAATAATTGTGGGCAATATTCAAATTTGATTAATTTTTTTAAATATTATTATTAATTATTATTAATTATTTAATACTAAATGTTAAATAATAAAAAAAACTTAAATAATGAAAATTTATAAATAGAAAAATTTAGAGAATTTATTTAATATTTTTTTTTTTTTTTTAGATAAAAATTAACTAAAAATTTAAATTTTTAATCTTTATTTAACATTTTAGAATCTTTTCTGTTATTGAATCACAATCCAGCATTTAGATAAGACAACATCTTTAAAATATCATATATATATATATTTAATAAATATTATATATTATTTATTTAATATATATATATATATTTAATAAATATATTTTATAAATATAATATTTAATAAATATTATATATATATATATATATAAATAAATTATTGTCAACTAGTTTAATGTGTTATGTGATTTTTGATTATGATATTTAAGTAATTCTTAAGAGAATTAATTAAATGTCACAGAAATATTCTTTTTCATATTGTTGATAGTAATTCGAGTGAACGAATTAGATCCCTGCATTTTTCTAAACTTCGGGTTAACAGGCTATCCATCTATACTTAAGCGTGAGCACACATTGTGCTATACGCACGATGCATACATTTAAATGTTTATCCAAGGCCATTACTTACTGACACATCAACATATTGCTGTTAACATATTACTTTAAAACAATAGCTTGTATGTCTTATAAAATTTCTAATTCATAATATCTATAAGATTAGATTTCTATGTTTCAAACTTTAAAGTTTAAAAATGACACGAATTATATTTATATAAGTAAAATTTTTGCAAAATATCCAATGAAATAATTATAAATCATAATACTTTTTAAATGTAAATAAAATATATTTTAAAAAATATATTAGTTTTCGTGCATAGAATATTATACAAGCAGAATAGTGCGATTCCTTGCTACGTTGACCTCATTTCTCACTTGACCTTAATATCATACAAGGTACTTCAAGTCGATCTATAGAATATTTCCATTCTATTAAATATTTTGGAAACTGTAATATATATAAACAAAAAATATTTATAATTGTTATCATTTTTTATACAAATAAATGATAATTCAAATCCAAAATGTTTTTATTTTAATTATAATTACGTACTCAATTATTTTGTATTCTACCGCTTAAAAGTTAATAGCTTAGATTGCATATCTCATGCTTATACCATATTCAGATTCATAATTTATTATAAAAAATATTAAAATATTTAATTTTAATAACAAATTATATTTATTTATTTATATTTTTGATTTTTTTTATTAATTTTAAACGTAATATCTTTAAATATATTTTTTATATTATACATAGACATTAGTTTGACTAGATAAGTAATTTAATGAAAACATAACCTTCTTTCAAGTTTTAAATAATACGTATATTATCTTTGGATTAATTACATTACGTAATATGATTTGATATCTTTATAATTATATCTTATAATAAGATAAGATATTAAAAAGTATTTTATAAATTTACATTGTTATTCTATGCTTATATTTTATAATGGATAACAGTGCTATTGAAATACAAGTTAAAGTTTTATTTTTCGCTAAAGCAAGAGAAATAACAGGGAAAAAAGAATGGTATATTGTTGTTCCACAAAAATTATCATACACTGATTTAGTAGATAAAGTAATAACTCATTTTAATTTAGAAAATATTCGTGATACCTTAATCCTAGCAGTGAACGAAGAATTTGTTCCCTTAGATAGCACATTAGTACTTTCGCAAAAAGACGAAATTGCTGTTATTCCACCACTTAGTGGAGGTTTGACTTTCCCATATGTTATATGAATTAATATTAATATAATTAGTGTAAAAAAAATATAAACTTGATATTTTTAGGTTAGAATGGATACTACAAAGAATATCGTGAAATTGCAACAAGAAGAATTAAATATTGAATATATAATTGATTTAGTAACTGCATCTAATTGTGGAGCTATATCAAATTTTATTGGTATTACTCGTGATAATTTTGACAACAAAAAGGTATTTATCTATTTAAATTTTTATTTATAAATCTAGAGATATATCATTCATATGTTTGTTTTTCAGGTTTTAAAATTAGAATATGAAGCATATGAACCAATGGCATTAAAAGAAATGAATAATATATGTTCAAAAATTCGTTCTCAATGGAATGTCCATCATATTGCTATATATCATCGTTTAGGAGAAGTACCAGTATCTAAAGCAAGTGTAGTAATTGCAATTTCATCTCCCC